AATAGACTTTAAAATGACTATGCGACGACTATACAGTCGACTTTAAAATGACGTACAACGACTATGATCGACCTTAAGATGACTGTACGACGACTGTAAGATGACTATAGTCGACCTTAAGATGACTGTACGACGACTGTAAGATGACTATAGTCGACTTTAAGATGACTGTACGACGACTGTAAGATGACTATAGTCGACTTTAAGATGACTATATAACGACTATAGTCGTCGTAAAATCGACTTGAAAAGTCGACTAACAGTCGACTTTTATCAGGACGTTCGTCGACATTCAGTCGACATTCAGTCACTTTGAAGTTGACTTTGGAGTTGACTTTTGACTTCTGCAGTCAACTTACAGTCGACTTTTAGCCGACTTTGTGTTGTCTGAGTACGGAATATGATTTTAATGTGACTTAACACTGTTTACCTGGTGACTTAACATTATACAATTAACATCTCTATTAAAATGAAAATATTCATTGAAAACATTTGTCATTGGGTAAAAATTAGAGTATACAGAGTCTTGTGATAACAATAACTCAATTTTCGAAAAAATGTGATTTAACAGTTTACCTTTGAGATGCTTATATAAATATTATGTAAATTATGTGACTGAATTTTGTGGATGGCGTTCAGAAGTTTCTTTGTGCAAAAAGAAAAATGAGACAAATCACTTTTGGCGTAACAAAAATATTTTAAGTGATTTGGGAGAGGTTTCTCGAGGGTGAAGTGTCTTTCGCAGGATGTATCGGATCGTTCTATTTCGTATTTCGTGTGTGGATCTCAGAATTTCCTTTGTGTCAAAAAAAGGAATGGAATAAATCATTCTTGGCGTAGCAAAAATGTTTTAAATCAGCGCTCGGAATTAGTTGTACATTTCGGGCCGATTCCCGAGACGACGCCTCCTGTTTCCCCACTACCGCCCGGCCGCTGGCGACCGAGCCGCCGATAGCTTTGGCGCAGGAGCGTTTTATATAAGAAATAGGCTGCGTTGTTGAGGCACCTCTCAGAA